GGGGAGAAATTAGGTTAAGAATTAAGTTTTAATATATTATCTGATTTTTACAAAAATAAACTTAAAACCTGACTTTTAAAAATGACAAACTAAGCCCCTGATTTCATATAATTTTCCCCTCACGAAACGTCTTTCTAAATGGTTCGGTCACATTTACGCTTCTAATAATCAATGGGACTTCAGTCTAAATGCAAATTGATATTGAGATTTGAAGGAAAATCAGCCCATGATTGGTGGCCATTTTTCTGAAAAATTATTATTTTAAATAGTGATTTTTTGGAGAATGTGTAATTAAAAAATACGAAAAAAATATTTGAGTTTATACGTAGAATATTTTATTGTGTGAATGTATGATTGAAAAAGAATGTAAAAACAAAGAGTTTTGAAAGAATGAAAGGCAAACAAAGACTCAATACGATGTTTGATATGTTATAATAAACAGAGCTAAACAATACAAGACAAGCATGTGAAGTAATTTGTTCGTTACGTGTAATTGTAGTGATCACAATTATTTTGGTAGAAAAAAAGAGTTTTGAATAGTGATTTTTAAGATAACGTGTGGTTAAAAAGTAGAGAATTTTTTTTGGTATACGCGTATAATATTTTATTTTATGAACGTGTGGTTGAAAATAATCCTATAGGAAATTATAAAATAAATTTAAAGTGGTGAAAATTTCAACGACAAAGCTTTGATGCAAACACAAGCAGTCAAAATTGCCGGCTGGAATAGTCGTCACTGTTTTGACAGGCTTTGAATAATCTTAAATTTTATTATTTAATTAACCTTGTTCGGCAAACTTCGTAATCTCCACCGTTGAATTCTCAGCCTCGCAACACGAATCTACAGACATATTCTTGATTAATACCGACAATAATTCCCAATTTTTAATTAATCTAAGATGTCACATTGTTCAGGAAACCGTATGCCTTCAAAGTAAACACATAGCGGTGAAGATTAATGTCACTTTAAATAATATTATTTGATACATTAGACAATAAAAAATATAATAAAAAAAAGAGAGAAACTGCATGTACAGGTGGGGTTCACACGGACAACACACATAAATGATAGGTAATTTCTTTTACATTTTTATTGAGGTGGGTCCATGTGAGAGGGTGTGTACATGGAGGTTAATTCTAGAAAGAACAACGTATTCGAAGTAAACACATGTCGCTCAACATAAAAAGGAATACGGAAGTTGAGATACACAGAGAGAGAGAGAATGGGTTCAGAAAATATAGGTTTGAAGGTTTTCATGTTTCCATGGCTGGCATATGGTCACATATCTCCATTTCTAGAGCTAGCCAAGAGATTATCAGAGAGAAATATTCATTCATACGTTTGTTCAACCCCAGTTAATCTCAATTCCTTCAAGACTAAAATCCCTGAAAAGTATTCCAATTCCATTCAACTAGTGGAACTTCATCTTCCATCCTTGCCTGAACTTCCTCCTCACCACCACACAACCAATGGCCTTCCACTGGATCTCCAACCAACCCTCCGTAAGGCCCTTAAACTGGCAAGGCCTGATTTATCCAATATCCTAAAAACTCTAGATCCTGACTTGTTAATACATGATGTAACGTATCAATGGGCTGCAAAGTTTTCACTGTCCCATAATATTCCAGCTATTTCTTTCTGTACTTCTGGCGCAACGATGGTTTCATATTTCTGTCACGTTTCAATGAAACCGGGGACTGAATATCCCTTTCAGGCCATTCGCCTTTCAAATTTTGAGCAAGAAATGCTGTACTCGACCATGAAATCCTACAGAAAAGAAGCTGCTGAGGAAGATCCTGATGATAAGGTACCTCCAGAAGCCTGTAAAACCATGTTAATGAAAAGCTCTAGAGAGATTGAAGGGAAATACATAGATTATCTCTCCGAAATGATCAAACGGGAGATAATGCCTGTTGGTGCACTCTTTCCCGATCCAGTTAGCCATAACGAGGAAAACGAGCTCATGGAATGGCTAGGGAAGAAAAAAGAGTCTTCTAGTGTATTTGTATCCTTTGGGAGTGAGTATTACTTGAAAAAAGAAGAGATTGAAGAGATTGCGTATGGATTAGAGCTTAGCAATGTTAACTTCATATGGGTCATTAGGTTTTCTGCGGGGGAGAATATTAGAGTTGAAGAGGCACTACCTGAGGGTTTTCTCAGGAGGATTGGAGAGAGAGGAAGGGTTGTGGAAGGATGGGCACCACAAACACAAATTTTAGGGCATTCAAGTATTGGTGGGTTTGTAAGTCATTGTGGTTGGGGTTCTATGATGGAAAGTATTGAATTTGGGGTTCCAATCATTGCCATGCCCATGCATCTTGACCAGCCTTTGAATGCCAAGCTTGTGGTGGAGCTTGGTGTAGGAGTGGAGGTTGTGAGAGATGACAAGGGGAGGCTTCAAAGAGAAGAAATAGCAAAAGTGATCAAAGATCTTGTAATTGGGACCATCGGGGAAAATTTAAGGAGAAAAGTCAGAGAACAAAGAGAGAATACAAGATTAAGAAGTCAAGAAGAGATGGATGGAGTAGTTCAGAAGCTTGCACAACTTTGTGGGAAGAGTACAGGTACTAAAAATTTCTGAAACCCAACTCAGATAATGTTGAACTTTACAGAAGAGCTATCTCAGAAAAATAGCCTTGCTGATGCATTAATATAGCCTAAATAGAGACACTCACAAATGCCTATATTTCTTTCACTAAACAATGCTTGTCATGCATCTTGTGATTGACTTGTTCTTGACGAACGCAAGAATGACACATTCTTTTGGAGATATCAGAAAATCTCAAATTATCCCTCTTTGCATAATCTAGCTAATATGAACGAATGAAGCACACAACACACTGTCTAGAAGAGATTTGACTTCAATCTTCATTCAATTTTTATATCAGCTGGCAATTTAATGTGACTGCATGAAGTTATGTTAATATAATCCTTCTGCTAAAGACCTTAAGTCTTTTTGTTTCAAAAATTTTATCAAGTCATCCTCTGTTACTACTTCTGTTTTGAAGAGATAAGCATTTGTATCAGCAGAGCATAAGATTACAACAGGAATTCTTAGTTCCTAGCACACTTTATATATGAATACTAGATGCTGCAGAACACCTAAGAAAGTTGTTATTTTGATTACGGTCATAATAATCTATTAATATAGTTTTCAGAGGGACACTCACAAGTTTCTAGAACTCTTGCTGTAAACAGCATGTCATGCAACTTCGGAGGGATTATTACTTCATGAATGCAAGAATTACAGATATTGGAAAAAAATATCATATCATCCCTCTTTGCATAATTTGGCTAATATGAATGAATGCAGAACATAAACACAAAGTATAGAGGAAATTCGGTTTGATTCTTCAGTCCATCTTATATCAGCTGGCAATATCTGCAAAATTAATGTGACTGGACGAAGTTATGTTAATAGAACCCTTGTGTCAAATACCATAATTCAACTTTTCTGTTTAAAACATGTTATAAAATCATTGCCTGTTATTCATTCTGTTTTCAAGATATTGCATTCGCATCATTCAAACATAAGATGAAAACAGAGATTATCTATGAATACACATGCTTCAATTCATTTGCACTGGGGAATTGCAAAATAAGCAAGCTGAAATTGTTTTCTGTATTCGAGTTAAGTTGTTCGAATCCCACAAAGAAATGTGAGCAATAGTTCAACACAACATGTCAACATTGGCATCACTACAAATATTGTTGCAGAAACACAAGCTATTAAACTAGCACTATGATTGAGAAACCAATTCACTGCCTAGTCTTTTTTTCTCAGGGAAATTACCTCAAACAGATGTTGGACAAACTTGTTTTACAGTTGCCTACAACTAGCAACAAGTTTCATGAAGCCTGGATCCAGTTTAGCATTAGACAAAGCAATCCAGTTGCAGATTATCAGTTGGAAAAATAAGACAGTAAATTAGTAACAGCATTTTTTTTTACCAATATCTGTCTAGAGTGTAACCTTTTGTATCACATAAATCTTAATGAATAAGTTGAAAACAGACATGCGCAATTCTGTGCCATTTTACTTTTTGACAAGATATATTTCTTAGAGCTGTAATGAAGTGAAGACTCGAATACAATGAGGAATTGATTTAATTATGATTTTTTTAAATACAAAATATTGCAATACTAAAAGTAAAAGGGTAAAAAATTCTCACAATTAGTGGGGATAGGGACCCTCAATGATCCCACCTCCCTCTTGTTGGGAATTTACTTATCATGCACAGCGGAAATTAAACAATTTTCAATTCCCAAACGAGGATCTGCAATGTGTTTAGATAGAAACTGTGATGAGAATGATACCTTTGATGAATTCCACAAACTCTTTTGCTTTTTCTTGAACTCCAATGATCACGATCTGCAATCCAAGCTG